GAATAAGTGGGTGGGTGTGGCCCAAACCGGATTATTGTACGGTCATAGTATAAAACGATACAGCATATACCACTAATCATGTATTGTTATTTTACTTTAATGCCCTTCGTCCATTTCTTATATTTCGTATTTTAATTTAATTTAATTTAATTTAAGAGAAATTAAATTGATTCCTACTTTTTATGCCTACAAATGTTCCTACCCAATAAAATTATGACAAGTGTTATGTTTTCATATTTTTTAAACTAAATCATTAATACTATATTAGGAATATATCAAAAACAATTAAATTGAATAGTGATTTGTCATAATTTTAGTGGATAGGAATAATTGTAGGAATAAAAGGTAGGAGGCAATTTAATTTCTCTTAATTTAAATACCATGGTATTGAGCATATTGACATTTTAATCCCTATCGATGAATTTTGAAGTTAGATTTTTTTATTTAAGTTATGTTTTAATAAAACAGTTATTATTAATAAAGAGGTATCCCAGTTAATAATCAGAAATCAAGGGAAATATTTGGCTGACCCACATCAAACCCGTCTTAAGGCCCAATCCGTGGGGATAAATCATGGAGTATCACCAATGTTTTGTATGTGCTAGAGTTTTGAACATGGATCCCCTTTGTGAAATTATGCACCTCGTCCCCTTTGCAACTAAAATATTATTTATAAGTTTTTGGGAGGATTCGGGTGTTGAGATTTCTATTCTTTATTTAAAAAGAGTTGATCAACATATAATTCACTAGACATTTTATTGTCTAACTTATTTTGGATGTATAGCATGGATTTTAGAAAACCCCAGCTTGCGGACTTCAATTCTCGGTTTAAAGATTTATGAGGCCTTACCAAACTCAAGACTCAAAGGCCTTCGACAAACAATCATTAAGCATATGTGATGGCCTTGATTACCATGTATGACAACAAATGGGAGTTTATGAATTCAATAAGCAGTTTTTTAAGCACCATGTGTGCCACCTCCACCACTAAGGCAACATTTAGTGGATGAAATAGAACTGAATAAAACGAAACAATGTTGTTCAAAGGGTATTTAGTTGGAATGGAACAAGAACTAAAGAGGTTATTGACCACAGTTAATATTTTAGTTTCATCTAAAAAGATAGAATAGAATGGAACAACTATAAATATTTGACAGAAACACCCTAAAATAATGCCTCTTCTCCTTGTTTTATTTTTCTTCAAGTGTTTTTCTTTCTTTGCTTCACATCTTCTCTTCCTCTTGTAATATTTTCTCTTATCACATTTTTTTTTCTTTTCAAACGCAATACATCTTCTCATTCTTATTCATGATGACTAATAATTATCTATTCCACATAAAATCGTGATTTTTTTTTTAATTTTTTAAGTTCATAGATAGTGTTTGACAAAAAAAAAATCAAATTTATGAAAGAGAGACCACTCTTTTCTAATAAAGTTATTATTATTTTAATAAAGTTATTAACGATATATATACTTATAAGTATTATACCCTAAAAGAATAGAAATAGTTTATGAAATTTTGATGTGTTTAAGGATAATCCAATAATTTTACGTTCTTGTTCCGTCTCGTTCTATTATTGTCAAACATTACATAAATAATCAATTGAGTCTTGTCCAGTCCAATCCCATCAAATTCTATCCTACGTGCCAAATGCTCCCTAAAGGTACAAATTGCATTGAAACGGAATATCATGAACTCATGGAAGTTATATGGAACTATTTTATTGGAATGTCGTGAACTCGACTGGAACTTACAATATATTATTTGATTTAGTATGAGGTTGATATGATCAAACTTTGCAAGCCCTATATGAGTTCCAACATGCCCTATACTTGTTTTGTTTTCATCGAGTTAAAAAAAATATGAGATTAATGAACTTGGTTGCGTTAGGTGACATGTTTGGTATGTTTTTGGCAATACATTATATAATGGTAGAAATCATATTATTTATTTTGAAGCCAAACCACGACTCAATCATTTTCATACAAAAGGAAACTTTTTATTTTCATTCATCATGTCAAAACGATACAAAGACCTACATACCTATTCCAAACTTGCAATTATAATGACATTCAACTAATTAAGGTAATGTACTCATATGATTATATAATTATACAATATCAAAATAACCAAACCACCAAAAGCAATGAAAGCAACACAAAATATCAAAACCCTAATCAAAAAATGCTAGGCTATAAGTGTTGCTTCAATTGGTTTTTGAACACTATGTTCACTAGGATGTTATTCCAATATCTCATTTCAATTGCTTATGTATTTTCCAAAAATTCTACTTGTGCCAATTGTGAGGTAGTTCTTAATTAAATAACTCAAAAGACTCACAATCTTTGATCTAGATCGGAAGATGTGAGTAGTAACTTATCTTGAATACCACAACGTCTATGAAATGGTTGATTTCTTTCTTCGTGTGTGTTAATTTCGAAACTTAAGTCACTTGATCTAGAACGCATCGCCACTCTTCTACTAATAACTTACTCAAAATGTTTCTATGGGGTGGGAATGATGAAAAAAGAAAGATTCACCGGGTGGATTGGTCCAATATATTTTCTGGGAAAAAATTAGGTGGTGTGGGTGTTGGATCATTATATGATCAAAACATTGCACTCCTAGTCAAGTGATGGTGGAGAATTAGCAAGGACACTATGGGTTGAAGCAATTGCTAGCATTCACAACCTAAAACCACAACCTTCCAACTACTAGTTGGGAAGAATGGATACATCCGGCATATGTAAGAACATTGATAAGGCTGTCAAATGTCTTTCCATTCACAACATCGATTCCAATAATCTTTTTTCTCTATTCCTCGGTTTTAATATCAAAATATTATTCTTGGAAAACATCTGGTGCGAGAATTGCACTCTACAATCTCAATTTCCCCACCTTTATCGAATGGAGTCAGCTAAGAGATGCACGCTTAAGGATCGATTATGCGAAAGTGGTTTCTCGTGGAATTGGATTTGACACTCTCCTGATGTTAATTTTCTTGTTGAATGGAATGAATTTTACACCTTAATTGCTTCAACTGATTTCAATTTCTCTTCAGCTATCAGTTTTCATTTCAATCTTAATAGGGACGGGATCTACCTGTCCATCAGTACCCTGAGACAACTGATAGACACAAAACAATCATAGCCCATTGGGCCTTTGATAAATCGGTCCAAAGTCATTCCTCTCAAAGTTAAATGTTTTGTTTGGAAGGCTACCTAGGGGAGAATTCCTGCTGCTACAACTATTGGTCATAGGGGCATTTTGTTCCAACATTTGTGTTGTCAATTATGTGGCAGGAAGATGAATTTGTTTCACATCTTCTAATGGAATGCAATTTCTCTAAAACGGTTTGATTTTAGATCTTTAGGTGGTGCGAGATACAAGGTATTCAATGTGAAAACGTTTAGGAATTGGTTGATTTTGCTACTTCCTAGCGAAATTGCCCAAAGAAAAGACTCTCACTTATCGTAATTCTCTACTCCTCACTTTAGAATATTTGGTTAGCCCGAAATAATAAAATTTTCAACAAAAGCAATGTTTCACCTACAAGAATGACGGATCTTATTATTGCATAGACTTTTGATTGGTTTACGTACAACGGTAATATTGGAAGGAGCTGGACTGGTTGGATGTGTTCCCTATTTGTTGGGTGAATCGTTTCTCTTGATTGTTTGGTTTTGTTTTATGCTTGTAATTTGTTGTGTTTTGTTTTCCCTTGCACTCATCTCCTTAGCTTCTTGCCAGTGGTTTGGTTTGTTTGTTTTTATCCAAAAAAAATAGCATTTACTTTAAAATCCAAACCCTAGTCAAAATGTGAAATTTTGAACAATATGGTCATTTTATAAAATAAGTTAAAATCCGGCATATATAAATAAGGGACATTTTTTATAATAACCATGTTGATTTTAAGAATTTTGTTAATAGCATGTCATTTAAGATGGTTCACGATAGTATTTATTTTTTTATCATATTAATTGGATTTTCTTTATTCATTATTTTCTAGAAATATCCATTTGAATTGTTTTATTAAAAATTATAACGTTGAATAGTAATGAATTGTTATAGTAATGACTGACCTCACACTATGTTATTTAGTATACATTTAGACATTTTTATTCAAAGAAACAACATTATAAAAGAAAGTTTCTTGATTCACAGGTGGTGTTTGTTTTTTTATCGATATTTTTGATCAGTTATATTGCAGGTGGGCAAATATTTCGAAAAATAATTGTCTGTTTCAAAAGACGATACATGCATGAGACCTGAATGTGATGACAATCCTGATAGAAAGAGACTGTAATAAAAATATCAATTTTCTTTTTGGTGATCAAGTTTGTGATCATGTATCCTTGTATTTTAATTTTCAGGTATGCACAAGTTTTGATGATTGCGACACAAGTATGCATATCTATGGTTTATTGGTTATGTAGCCTACAAAAAAACCAACAAATATGCATATTTAAAATCTTTTTGCACACTGCAGAATTTTGGTTCACATATTATGAAAATATGGGAAAAGAGTGTAGACATTTTACATTTCCAAATCAAGCAATGCCTCAATATATATAACCATTTAGACTACTTAAAATAAATATAATGAAAATCTGAATATTTATATTTTATATTATTTATCAATACAAATGATTATTTGTGTATATATTACGATAGTGGTTTTTGTTTTCATATGGTTCAAGATAAACATTTATTTCCAATCATATTAGTTTGTATTTTTTCAAAATTTGTATTAACCTTCTTTATAAATTTATTTTTAATACTTGTTCTTCAAATCCTTACACAACGTATTTAATTTGTTAATTTAAATACAATACAAATGTGAGATAAGCTAAAGCTTGTTTTAAATAATTTTAGAATATCCAAAAGGCTAGTTTTTACTTAGATAATAATAATAATAACAATAGTTAGAAATTACATCAAATCAAATATTACATTTCACTAAACTATCAATGATCAATATAGAAAATGATCAAAGTCGCCGCTTTAAAACCATTTAATAGTTAATTTCAATGAAATAGTTACTGTTAAAAAAAATATTTGTAAATTTTCTATTTAAATAATTTTAATTCTGTGTAACCGACATTAACTTGAAGGATACACAAGAAGCAAGTCATTTAAGAAAATGATTAATATGTTAAGTTGTTAACCGACAAGAAAAGATGGACATTTAAAGTGCCTAAAATACCATCAATTATACTACAATAATTAATGAAAATAAACTTAAGAACGACAACGAGTTTCATCCAATCTACAAGTACCCAAAATACCCTTTCGAAATTTTTGTATAACTTGCATATTATTCTTTCAGATTTCCAAAATACCAAGTTCAAATCTTCATAAAGAATAATGAATTAGCAGATATATGTATATGTGTATACATATATACACATACATATACATATATACATACATATAACAAATAATAAGAAAATTTACTTATACTTTCAAGTTGAAAAGAAATTACCCGTGGATCATCTCCTGCAGCTAGACCAGTACTCAGCAACAAGCTTTGAGAAATAAGAATCTGACTCCATTAGCTTCGATGGCTCATCATATTCCATCATTTCACCTATTATACATGAAATTTTACTATCGTGCAGAGGGTAATTGTGTCATTTTACGATTGATATGGGTTTGTGAAGAATAAGATACATACCAGAGGAAAGGACCATGACCATGTCACTGTCTATAACAGTTGGAATCCTATGAGCAACCGTTACAACAGTGCAACTTGAGAATTCCTGCCTTATAATCCTTTGTACAGTGGCATCTGTGTCTGAATCGATTGATGCAGTTGCTTCATCAAGAATTAAGATCTTGTTTCGCCTAAGCAACACTCTTCCTAAACAGAACAGCTGTCGTTGACCCATACTCCAGTTTTCTCCTTCATCACTCACTGTTGTAACCAAAAAAAAAAACATATACATTTTAGAATTGGAAAATTGGAATTGGAATTCTACAGTGTTGTTACCGGATGAATCTAAACAGTTTGGGAGACTGGTAATGGTGCTCTTAAGCTGGCATTTCTCCAATGCCTGAAAGATTCAATCAAATTAATAAAAAAGTTTTCGGAAAATTTAATATAAATTTTCTTTTATATTTTTTTTTTACCTCCCATATGTCATGATCGGAGTGAAGTCCTAAGGGGTCAAGATTTGTTCGTATGCTACCCTTGAAAAGGGTAGGTTCTTGAGGGATGACACTTAGTTTCATTCTGAGGTCCTTTAAGCCTATGGAGCAAATGTCCAAACCATCTATATAAATTCTTCCACTATCAGGTTCTACTAAACGAAAAAGAGCAGTTATAAGGGTAGTTTTGCCACTTCCTGTCCTTCCAACAATCCCTACTCGTGTCCCTTCCTTGAAGGTGCAACTGATTCCTTTCAACACCAGTGGCGCATTTGGCCGATACCTAATCTGAAACACACACCCAAGAATTGAAACTAGTCGTAATGGTATCTGTGCATCTTTAGTTAAAATCATGTAGGTTATAAAAAAACATTTTTACATGAAGCATTTTGTTGGTTTTATTCAAGTGGGCTGACCTTGACATCTTGAAAGACGATTCTACCCTTTGAAGGCCAAGAAGGTGGTGGCCTATTATCCTCCACAGTTGCTGGAGGCTCTGGTGGAATATGCATATATTGTTTTATCCTTTCTACTGAAATTACATAATTGGACAGACTACAATACCATCGTGTTAAAAACACATGGGCATTTGTAAGCGCCAATGCATACGAAAGGGAAAGCCCAACTAAACCTAAAAAAAAAATTAAATAAGTTGATTTGATTTAAAACTTATGATAACAAAGTTTTAATATATATAAAATAGAAAAACGAATACCTGGAGGAATATACCCCTTTGGAAGTAAAACCAGGAAAAAAGCAGATGTAAAAAGTGTCAGATTTTGAAGTGCTTCTGCCCTCAACACCAACCATTCCAATGTTGCGTTTGTGAAAATGAAAGTGCTTGCATCAATATCTACAAGTTTTAAATAGTTTTTGAAGAACATTTTTTCTTTTTTAAACGCCCTTATTGTAGCCACCCCTTGTGATGTTTCGGATGCATAATTTACCACAGGTGCTTTTGTTGTTCCATTGATTCTGATAAGTTCTCTTGCAGATGGTTGATAATACCCCTGTATGTAGAGTAGACACCAAGAAGATTGAATATGTTATGTACTTACATGGATTTTGTTTTATGTTTTGTAAAAGTAAAAGTAAAAAAGGTAAAAATTCACCTGGAAATACTTTGTAGCTATTGTAGCAAAAATGCCTACAATGAGGACTTGCCATGTAACTGATGCCATGATGGTGATTGTGGTGAGCAATTCAATACCAGAAATTACCACAAAAGCAAACGAGAAGGGTATGTCAAAATCCACTACACTCATATCTGTTGATGCCTGCAGGAGTAATTTGAGATGTAAAATTGCATATGAATCACATTTACATCACATAAATAAAAGGGTAAAATGGCCATTTGTTGGTATTCAGACAGTTCATTCAGTCCAAAGAAACAGACTTTGTCTATACAGTACTTTATCCATACAGAAAAGGGTAAAATGGTCATTTTGCTCGTATTCAGATAATTCACTGTCCAAAAAAAAACTTTCTATAAACAATGGGAAGTGATTTGTACACAATACTTGTTATCCATACACAAAAATGATATGTTTTTTATGCATATTGTACAACCCCTCTAAAGCATAAATTGTGGTGTATGGATAAAAAGTGCTGTGTACAAATCACTTCCCATAAACAATAAGGTTAAATGGGCATTTGTGTGTATTCAAACAATGGCTGAATGGGATCATATTACCCATTAAGCCACTTTATACAGAACTTAATGGGAAGAAGAGAAATAAAAAACATGCTCTTAACCTGATAAGCTATGGATGTTTCTTTTTTAATTTAATGCAGAAAGAACAACTTAATAAAGAAACCAAGTAAAAGGAGGCTTTCTCCAGTTAAGTCTTAATATTTTACAAAGTTTTCCCACATTTGTTTTTTCCTCTCATTTTCACATATATTTTTTAAGAATAATTTATTCAGACAGAAAAAAGAAAATAGAAACAAGGCCTTACTCGTGTCAGAATCCGGCCAACTGGTGTAGAGTCAAAGAATAGCATGGGTGCCTTGAAGATTGACTTTGTAAACTTTGAGAAGAAGGCTTGAGAGGCTTGTAATCCCAAAAGGGTAGTGAATAAAGCTCTCAAAAAAACAAAAAAAGCACTTGTGGTTGAAATTAATGCATAAACACCAATCAACATGAAACTGCTGATTGTAGGAATTTTAATGGCAAAAGCTAGCCAATAACTAGCTGCAGCCTGAAGAGCAGAAAAAACAATCTGAGTCAGCAGGCTCAAGAACAAGTAACATCCACCTTCTGAGATAACGATGTAATCCAAGAAAGGCTTCCACCCAATATTACCAATTGGCTTCTCTTCTTCTTCAGTCAACTGTACGGTTGACTTTGATATTTCATTAATTTCATTTCTATGGTTTAAACTGTTTGTTTCTTTTAGAGGGGTGTTTTTCTTTTCATAAGATGAAGACTCCAATTCTGTTATTACATTCTTGTGAGCATTCACAAGCTGCTCAAAAGCTGTCCCTGCTTTTATGAGTTCATTGTAGAGACCCGATTGAGTAATTTCACCATCTTCCATCACCTTAAATCAATAACAGAAAATAATGTGACTAGTATTAAAATACATATAATATATTTATCAAACGAAATGAAATATGTTTATATGCAATTTATTTAACAATGTTTTCATGAAATTAAAGTTTATGTTTATAAAATAATATTTTGCCTCACTTACCAATTTAACTTTATTTAGTTTTCTAATTATACATAACAAACATGTTTGAATGATTCAATCCATTACTTCAAGCCAACCAAACATGACAATGGAATGTAATGATCTATTCCATTACCCTGCTCATTCCATTCTTTTGTGATTCCATTCCATCATATACCAAAACAGACCCAAAATATGCTAAATATGTGAAAAGGACTTTCATTACCAGAATATTGTCAACCTCTGAGAGAAACTCCACTTGATGAGTGACAAGAATGACTGTTTTCTCCCTTAAAGCAGTCATAACACAATCCTGAAAGTTAAATAATTCAAATATAATTACCAAAAAGACAATCATGACAAAAAAAAATTGAAATTATAGAAGCTAACATTAAAAAGAGTTGCTGCTGTATGAGCATCTACAGCACTGAAAGGGTCATCAAGAAGATATATGTCAGCATCACTGTAGACTGCTCGGGCGAGTTGAATCCTCTGTTTTTGCCCACCACTCATATTAAGTCCCCTTTGACCTATTTCTGTTAGATCACCATGGTTGAAATCATTAATATCCTTGTCTAGAGCACATGATTTTATGGCATTCTCATATCTGATTGTGTTCATGCCCTTCCCAAAAAGTATGTTATCCCGAATTGTCCCACTTTGAATCCATGAAGCTTGACTAACATAAGCAACTGATCCAAAAACATCCACCTGCTTGCAAGAAAAAGCAATAATAAACTTTAGAAATTTACATATTATAGTGAAATGTAAAAAAAGTTGTTTGTGTACTCACATTTCCTGAAGTTTTGGTTATTTCTCTGAGTATAGCATACAATAGTGATGATTTTCCAGCACCAACTGGCCCACAAACTACAACTTTCTGTCCCCTAGTAACTTCTATATTTATGTTTTTTAGAGTCGGAAAGGGTGATTCCGGATCCCAACTGAAACTGCCATGTTGTATACTAATACAGGTACCTGAATGTTTCTGAATGTCGGAATGGATGATTCCGATCCCATCATTTTTTAGCTCATTCTCCACCAGAAAGGAATTGATCCTATCGAATGAAACTTTACTCTGGATCAACATTGAAAGAGCTTGTGGAAAGTATTTGACTGGCTCAGACATTGTTCTTAAAGTTGCCAAAATTGTGAAAATTGTGGCAGCATTCAAAGGGGCACTCTTGAAAAATGCACACCCGAATAGAATGACTGAAGAAATGATAGTTGGTGACATCCAATACAAAATTGAACCATAAGCCTTTTTATATTGAGATTCACTTAGCCATATGAATTCGGTTTCTCTACAAGACTCAATGAAACCCTCGAATTTCTCTTCCCATGATTGTAATTTAATGATCTTCATATTGTTTAGGATCTCAGAAGTTGACCTTAGTCTCTTGTCTTGAGCAACCATAAACTGAAGTTGACATTTCTGAAGTGCTATTGCAAATGGCACGTTTAGAAGCCCACACAGGAGGAGAGGAACTAATCCAGGGAGAACACCAACTCCTACTACAGAGAACAGGACACCAATGGCTAAAAAGAGTTGGATGAAAGAAGTCCAAGCTACATGAACCCATAAAGGGAATTCACCCATTCTGTATGCATCAACACCAATGTAGTTTACAACTTCCCCTGTAGAATGTCTTTTCCTCCCTAAACTAGAAAGCTTTAGTTGTTTCTCATATACTGCCACCATTAAAGCTGATCTCATCCTCATGCCTGTTCTTTTTGCATCAAAGAAAAAGTGTCTTTGTGATAAAGATTCAACTGCCTTGACTACAATCAGGCATCCTACTAATAGGAGTCCGTATTGTAAATTTTCTATCTCCTGATTGGAATAGTTAACAAAGGCATAGAGTAACAAAGGACCCACTATGACTGCAATAGTTCTAAGCAATGCATAAATTCCTAGCAATACCATTTCAGTACAATAAACTCTTTTTAATGCCCTGACAATTAGGTTAGCATCATTTGAGGTCTTCTCCCTTTGAAGTGAGTCCCATGCTGTTTTGAATTGGTTATAGGCAACTATAGCTTGGTCTTTAGGTGCTAGAGAGGGAATGTCTTCAAGAACTAGTGGCTTCCTATAACCTAAGGAAATTAAAGGGTTAACCCAAGAAAATACCAATTTGCTTAAAAAACTAGGCTCTTTTAGTTGATTTGTGTTCCCTTCCTTGGTTTCGTTTGCCAATAGAGGATCTAATAAGGTGTTTGGTGTCTGTTGAGTGACAAATTCTTTGCCATTTCTCAGAGCACAGAAGAAAAGAAAGAAGCTAGCTATCCATTCTATAATCTCCAACACTAAGATGCTGTGTTTCTCTACTAAATTCTCGATTTCTATGGTGGACATAAACACAAATAGTAACATCCACCAAACAGAGACCAAAGTTTTGATGAATTTTGATCTTTCTACAAGCAATGAAACTGTCAAAGTTAACCATATAAGTACCCTACCAATGTTCATCACCCAATCTGAACAATTGAAGCTCCTAGTTCTAGCAATCACTTCCCATAAACAATGGCCAAGATAAGCACCGCCGATTAGAAAACAGCAGATAGCGACTGATACAGAAATCCAGTCGCTTCTCCTGTATCGATTCTCTCTTACTCCACGTTTCTTCAGATAAACAACTAATAAATTCGAACAGAAGACGATGACAAACAGCAAGTTCAACAAATCTAAGATGATCCTTTGACTTTCTGGTGATTCCAAATCACATTCATCCTCACAAATGCATCCACCTGTAAATGGACCGTTGTACAGAAACAATTAGCACATGTAGTTTAGTTTGGAATTATACCTCTGAAAACCTAAAATTAATATAAAAATTAGGATATACGTAGCGAAAAACGAAATTCTCAAAAACTGCATACAGTTAGCAACAAGTTGATGCTAGAAGATATGCAATAGGCGTCAAAACATGAAAAGTTACCAAGTAAACTCCTCAGAGACGCCATTGATGTAGAAGATCTCTATGTGTGCTCAATTTAGAACGATATTCTCCATTCTTTATTATCAGCTTCTGTAATACGTGTGTGTATATAAGGAGCTCATCTTCTCTTCTCCATCTCCGTAAAATTACACAAATTACGCCGACGATCGATGCTGGTGTTTGGAAGTTTGGATACGCAGCGTCAACATGTGCAAGTGTTCAGCCAACTTCCAAATTTTGTATAAATAAATAAGTCGTTGGCATTTATTATAAAAAATGATTGTAACCTTTTTAAAAGAAATATTTTAGTTTATTATAAAAGATTCTCCTTAAATAACCTTTTAAATAGAAAGTTGTTATCTATAGTTTTAAGTTTCAACAATTATCTTTTTAGATAGACAAAATTGCGTAAATGACGAATCAAAATTATAGGATTTTTGTTAAAAAAATTTGGTGATAAATTATGTTGGGAATGCAACAAAACAAGTTAAACAGTTCTGAAAAATATTTAACGATTTCGGTAACACTCACAGAATAAAAAAACTACAAAAAATTACAAACAAAATTAAACACGGTATTTAACGTGGTTCGGTCTAATCTGACCTACATCCACGGGCGAACAAGAGAGAGAGGATTTTATTTAACACTAAAGAAAATTACAATCATACAAGGCTAAAACTGCACTTTTAATCCGATCGCTCACTGTAAGGTATCACTCGTATTTTAACTACCGAAAATAAAATACAACCTCACTATTTCTTTTCTGTGTATATATGATCGTTGTGTTGTGCTCTATCTGATCTCTACTTACAACACACACACACACACACACACACACACACACACACACATATATATATATATATATATATATAGAGAGAGAGAGAGAGAGAGAGAGAGAGAGGATCAAATAAGAACACCTAAAAGATTGAGAACGCGAGAACAGTTCTGGATCAATCAATATATAAGGGCATAGTAGTAACTATATATTTTAATTAAATTAAAATTCAATCAAATTCCCTTAAATTTAGGATCGGTTACCAAAAAACAAAGAAATATTCAATTTTTTATTTTTTTTATTAATGGAATATAAAAAATGTTTTTAGTTAAAGTTATTTAAAATCTTAAAAAAATCATTTTATTCTCCTATTTCACGTTTTTTTTTTCAAAAAAATGAATATAAATCCAATTTCAAATCAATACATTTGTATTCACAAACGAAATGTTTCTTCAAAAAACCAAATATTACTCCAATCACAAATGAATACACATCAAATTACAAATAATTCAATGCCTTTTTCATCAATTGAAATGAATACACTACTATTCATAAATAAATACAATCATTTATACATTAATACACTTCTATTCACAAATGAATACATTGTTATTCATAAATTAATACACATTTTATCATAAAATGCATACCTCTAATCATAAATAAATACACTCATTCACATGAATACACTAAAATTCATAAATACGTACAACCATTCTGTGACAACTCGATATTTCGAGGCAATATAATGGAACGCAAGTCAAATTTAGGTCAAAATTTAACTTTCCAAAAATCTTATTTGGGTTAAATAAAGTAGTAGGAATCGTTTCAAGGTTTTCATACATATAAAGAACCCTAAAATCCGAGTTATAACGAAGAAGTTATGGCCAATCGAAGATTCTCGGCAAAACCGGCAATACTGATAAATGTAAAACGCGAAGTTTCAATACAATAGTTTTTGGCCTTAGGTATCTAAATGAAAGTTTTAGATATCATCAAACCGTAAACGTACATAAAAAGAACGTCCAAATCTGACTTCGTATGAGGAAGTGGTGATTTTTCTAAGTTACAAATATAGCAGTAGACAACTAAAAACTCGAAATAGAGATCGAGAGACTTTTAGCCGACACAATCTAAATGAGAATTGAAGGGCTCAACAATACTAGCGCAACGGTAAAAAGTCTGACGAAAACGGACGTCGGATGAAGAAGTTATGGAACTTTAACGGACTTTTCCTGTCCCAACCTATTAAAAATATAATATTAAAAATAAAGTCAAAACTAGCCGACGGAGTCTAAACGAAAGTTGTAGATCGTAGTCTCACCTTCGCGTGGATATAAAGAACGTCGAAAACGGAGTTCGTATGAGAAAGATATGAATTTTTGAAGTTTGTTAATTAATTTAAATATAAATTAAATTAAATCCCGGTATTATCCGAAGGAGGAGTCACCGGTCCGATCCCTAGTACGCCCAGCGTACTCGGATGCTAGGCTCCGGTTCGTCCACGTCGCTCCAATGCTTCGACCGAGGATGCGCTCATGCATGACGCATGAGTACGCAGCGCGTACTCTAGTACGCCCCGCGTAACGCAACCCCCTCAGACCCCTATAAATAGCATGCGAGGGTGCCGGCCAAAATTGCTAATTTCCTTCCTTTCTCACGCCGAAGCTCTGCGTTTCAACCCTCGGAATCATCCCAAAGGCCCGGCTTTCATATCCAAGGTGGGAAGAAAGTTTTACACTCCCGAGACTCCCGAGAATCTCGAGAGATCCGCTTTCTTGAGTAGAAGTTCTGCTCGGTTTTCGTCACGCATTCTTCAATCAATCAGGTGAGTTCATACCCCTATAATCCACACTTTTAAATGTTTTATGAATATTTTTATATGCTTTTAAGGGGGGGAATACAAGTAAAACACACGATGATTATCGTATGTTATATAAAGTTTCGTTTTATACTTTTTATCAACGGAATCATATGTGATTTATAATCATTATAAAGAAACTTTTGTGTGCAAAATGCATCACGATAATATCATATCTTTCGGAAATTGAAAAGTGTTGTTATTTATATATAAATCAAACACTCCGCTTATACTGTATGTATATGTGTCCACCTTTGGTACTACAAACATACGATTATTTTAGTACTACAAACATACGATTATTTTGGTACGAAAAACATCAATATTTTGGGATACTTCTTGTTAATAAATCAATCATATGTGATTTATAACTAGTATACAAATAGATTCACTACAAGTTCAACAGTTTCACTAAACATATTACTTCAAATGACTTTCTTAAACGTTTTTACATGATTAAAGCTCGTTATCAAACTGTCTTACATACTGTAAGCTTCCTTTCAAAATCGGTTACAAAGGTGTTTTCAAACAATGGTTTTACGTGTACTTAAACTGTCTTATCAAACAAAATACTTTCAATCATTTTATAAACTGACATCAAGTCACAAATCTTTATTAGACTTTTCAACGGTTTTACAAAACTTCTTTATGCTTTTATATTATAAATTGCATGCCTCTATATGTATAGTTATATAAGAAATGTTTAAAAGACTTAGAAAGGCTATCCACCCTATTTCCTTTTCGCGCCTTGAGATGTGGTCTGGTGGGATATTGGGTATTCGTCCGAAAGTCGTTTAAATATTAGTTATATATCATGTATACATATATGGTCATAAATGTTCCCTCAGTAATTTAGTTCCGATACAAATAGATATCAATGGTGTATAAACCTACTTGGTCACTCATCAATTACATTCTAGTAAACTATTATAGGAATAGTTTAGAGTAAACAAAACATTTTCACTACTACAAGAAATTACACCAGAGTCAGTTCATTCATGAGTCCAGACTACATGTTATATGAAGGAATACTCTTACTTGAATACTTATACATGAATACTTATACATGAATACTTATACATGAATACTTATACATGAATACTTATACATGAATACTTTTACATAAACATTATATGGCAAGTTACTACTACATGTTATATGAAGGAATACTCTTACCTGAATACTTATACATGAATACTTTTACATAGACATTATATGGCAATTTAATATTACATGTTATATGTCTAGATATGGTTATATTGTTCGCCTTTCTATCTTTACCTTGTGATTCAATCACATCATCGACGAGGTAGACTGGGACTTTATCTCCTAGTACCACATCATACTTTGAGGGACTAACCATTCCGACAACCACTGCTAGCTACAGAGGTAAATGAACAATCTACGGATGTTCTAGGTTGATACCATCGTGGGTATACATAAGGGACTAACTATTCCTACACCCGGCTGTTAGCAACAGAGGTAAATGAGCAGTCTACGGATGTTCTAAGTTGATACCATTTCAGGTATACTTAAGGGGCTACTAATATGAGTTAAACAAGGAAAAACCATCACATTTTCAAGAGATACGTACTGTCAAAACAGTCAGGTCTAGGTAAAAGACTACTTTCAAAACATTCGAGTCTTGGTAGAAGACTACTTTTATACTAGTAGGAAATATGGGATTTTCTAGAGCTTTTCATACTTATACTAAATGTTTCATCATTCATTTACCAGTCTTTCATATCAACTAATCAAAGTAATGACATTAAATACTTATGAACTCACCAGCTTAAATGCTGATCTACTCTTTCAAAATAACTTGTATTCTCAGGTTACAAATAAACAGGTGTCGATACAAGGTTTAGAGAAGATGGAGCACTCAAGACTCGTCTTTTATTTTGATAAGTTATTATCATATCTTGTACAATGAAAGAAAACACTTGTAATTAAAATTATACTATTGATGCAATGGATGATGTTGTTGCTTGTTTACTACTTTACATTTGTTGTGATGCATACATGACGTCCTCCGCCCCAGAACGTTTCCGCCGTTCGTGGTTTTGGGTGTGACAGATTGGTATCAGAGCTTTGTTTATAGTGAATTGAGTATATCAACCCATAAAAGATATACTAACTATAAATACAATGGGATTAAAAATACTCTGATTTAGAGTATATACTTTAAATAATAAGATATTTAAGTAAGTATACGTGTTGCATTCATACTAAAATCAGTGTCACTAGGACAGTACAAAAGAATTACGATTGTTGGGCAACACAAGTGGGCTTAGAGACATATGGTCAAAACTGGGAAGATATAGCCTGATCGCCTATATTATCCGAGGGTTGACTAGCATGTGCCTAAGTTTAAGTGTGTAGTCGCAACAATGCTAAAATCTTACCAACCCTACCACAATGAGAACAATAGAACATAACATAAAAATTAAAATACTATAGGAGTATTTGGTGTTACTATAAGTACTTTATACTTGAGAATTAAAACGGGATCCTCATTACTAAGTTGATAGTTGCTAAATGGATACACTAAGGCTACATGTAATTAGGATGTTATAGACTTAGAATAGTGGTAATTTTGCCTTACCCCTATTCTA